TCTAAGACTTTGGATAAATGGAATAATCTAACTGAATTCACACTAGGCTTCGGTTGTCATCGATGGTTTTGTTTGAACAGCCCAGTGGGTTCTTACACTTTTGAACTAGAATGTCTTTAGAGAGTTGGGAGGAGGAAGGCCAAGCAGATGCTGAAAACTTGAGATGACATGTTAAAGCTCAGAGTGACAGCATAGGAGATAGGTGGGAAGCAGCAGATTAAGGAGATCTCAGATGAATGATAGTGACCATAAACCAAAGTCATGGAGAAACCTGTTTTTGAGTCATAGTTATCCAACATGAAGAGTTATTAGAACAACCTGGGAGACAGCATGCACAGTGGATTTGAGACTGGGATAGGCTGAAGTTTAGAAGTTAATAGTATGACAAGGTAGATGGGTAGATATAAGTTAGAGGAAACAGATAAACTTTAGGATGGCTGGATACTTAGAAGGAACTTGAAGTCTGAGCTGTTTGAAGGGCAGGATGGTTAGTATCCCTGAATGTAGGTGTAGGAAGGAGACTTAATGGAAGAGGATGTTGAACACAGATGATCTTAGCACTCTGAAGAGGACTGAAAGACACTTGGTTAAAGAAAACCAAACAGATCACGTCAACACCTCTCCCTGGCTAGGATGGGAGGTAGGGACAGAACTTGCTGTTTCTGCCTCTGATTGCTGGGTTTCTGAGTGGGTGATCATTAATTTCTGGTGACTGTTGAAGTCACATTATAGACTTCCCAGGACATTATGAAAAGCAGGCCAGGACTTCCTCACTGGAGCAGCTGTTCTGTTCTAAGCACACGTTTCCAAAGTGAACAGATAACGTCCCCTTTAGAGGGCCATGTTCTGTGGCAGAGGAGTTGATAACGATGCTCACGGCATTTCATGGCTGGCAAGCAATCATAAAGGGGCCTCAAAACCCTCACCTCATGCTCTCATGTTGGAAAGACGGTTGTACAGATGTTTATTGTCATTAAACTAGGCCGAGTGAGGTTATCAGCACATCTGATTGTGGAGGTGAGAGCATGCTTGGGCCTGCTACACCCTAGATGATCAGAGCTATGTATATGAGGCCCTATTTTAGACTCTAAGATATCTAAGTGTCTGTGTGTTGCTGAGGGTGGGGAAGAATGGAAGATACTTGCTTTTTACAATTTAACCTCCCGTCTTTAGGAAAGCAAGAATGGGTAGGAGATGGTGGATCATGCCTATGATCCCAGACCCTGGGAGAACGAAGCTAGGCTGCTGCAAATTGAAGACTAGCCTGCACTACAAGGGTACAGGACTACATCATAAAAGCCTTCAGACTGCCAAAGTGAGGGTAAGGGATGCTATCAATCCAGACCAATGATCTTGTGAGGGACAGTTTAGGTTTATTAGCAGGAAGAAAACAGAAAAAAAAAAGGGGGGGAAAGGTCTTGGGGTGGAAGTTCCCAGCTTATTTGTGGGAGATGCAGCATTCACCACAGTTTCTGGAAATGTCCCCAGTGACTAGATTGAGGTATTCACGTATGTGTTTTGGTTTTCAGCAACCAGTTTTTCAGCAAAATGAGGGGTAGCACGCCTATCCTCTGGCCTGGCCAGGATCTAAGGTTCCCCTGAGGGAACTGTAGCTGGTTGCCTCATCTCATCACTCCTGAGAAAACCAAATAAGGTACGGTGGGGATGCTCAGTGGACTCTTTATAACCACACAACCTATACAGAGTCTCCTCTAAGGCCTAACCTGAGACCAAAACCATGAAGCCAGTGCTCAGACACCTGCCTTGATAAGTTTAAATAAGTGAATGACGCTTTGCTCCGAGTAGAGTGAGAGTCAATTTGTTTTTTTGCTAGTACCTTAGAGTTACTATTCCTGGAAGGAAAGGGGTGACTTGGTTTATACTTCCATATCACAGCTCATCATCAGAGGAAGTCAGGACAGGAATTCAAACAGTGCACGAACCTGAAGGCAGTAGTTGATGCAGAGGACATGGAGGGGTGCTGCTTACTGGCTTCCTTACTATGGCTTGCCCAGCCTGCTTTCTTATGGAGCCCAGGACCACCAACCCAGAGGTGTCTCCACCCTCAATGGACTGAACCCTCTCACATTAATCACTAATTCATGCTCTATAGGCTTGCCCACAGACTGATTTTATGGAGGCATTTTCTCAATTGGGATTCCCTCCCCTCAGATGACTTCAGCCTGTGCCCAGTTAACAAAGTTAGACAGCACAGAGGGAGCCTATGAAGTTATGAAGAGGACAGAGTGAAGATGGCTCTTGCTTTCTTCCCCAGGAACAACTACATTCATAGGTCCCCATGTGACTGTGAAGGATGAATACAAATCAATGCACAAAAACAGGCTAGAGGTAAAGGCACACTTGAAGATAGCACAAGGTTGGCTAACCCAGCCAATGGAGCGTTCCATGGGGGCAATAGCTAGCTTTGGGAAAGAGTCACACAATGGCTGACAGAGGAAAGGCTTAGCTTCTGAGTAAAAGTGTAGTTTTCTGATTATATGAAAACCATCCCACCGCTGTCTTTGAATTAAACACCCTCAGGCAATAACCCTGGACCAGCTCCCTTCTCTGGTGCACTGATCACACAGGAACCATACCTGTGAAGCGTTGCCTCCTGTACAGTGGTCTCAAAGGTCAAAATTGACAAGTAAAAATGAGAACAGATTAGTAGAAAAAGACTGCACTGTTTTCTTAAAGTTGGGGTGGGGGGAACATTTCCATTATGTTTGAGAAAACCAGGGGGCAGATGGCAGCTCCTCTTTGTGACTGACATTAAAAAAGGCTGTAAAAGGCTCAAAAATTCCAATAAATTTACTTACACATGCTCACAGGAGTGTGTCAAGTGTGGAAGAAACTATAGGATTTTAAGACTATTTCCAATTATTCTGCTAATTTGGGAGTACATTAACTAACTTCTGGAGGAGAGGTCTTTAGCCTACTCCAGAAGATAGCATCTTGAAAACGTAAATAGTATTGCAGTAACTACTTACAGAATTGGAGTATTAACTCAATGTTACCTGCTGCCAACAGAATGCCAACCCTTAAGAGACACCATAGCATCATCTTGTCTACAAATTTTGTGCACTAAAAAAAAGAAGGCCACAGCACATTTACCAATTTAACATTTAAAATCTATTTGCTCTAGTGGAACAGGTCAGTTTAGTGATCCCAGTGGCAGGGAATGAAATTTCAATTTGTTGTTGTTGATATCCCTAGGCCAATTAAGCATGAAATAGAACCTTGCATAGCATGGGTAATTGTAACTCAATTTAGCTTTGAAGACTCTTCATATTAAAGACACTACATTTTAGTAATACACACACACACACACACACACACACACACACACACACAAACTGGTGGTGCTTTTAAAGATTCATCTCAGGCAATGCACTTAGGATTTCCTGTTTTTCCACCTCTCATTTGGAGTTAGCATCTATATAACCAGTAAGACAAAACCTGACATTATCCACAATAGCCTGTATAATAGCAAGGTGTGTCTATAAATTCTGGGCTGAGGTTTTGTGAGTGTTAGAGAGGGCTCTGCCACTGAGCCATACTTCAGTCTAAACATCTATAAACCTGTTGAGACTACCAGCTGGGATTGTAAGAATATTTTACTGCCAGGAAATAGAATTTGTTGTCAGGAAAATGCTTTCCTCAATTACCAATAGCTCATGAAGAAATATAAACCATTACTATATCAGATTGCAAGAAAAACAAGTGTTTATTACCCAACCCCCCCCTAATAAGCTGGTCTTAGCTGAATCTGATGGCTCAGATCTATACTTTTTAGCTCCTTAGGAGGCCAAAGAAAGAAGAATCTAAACTCAAAGCTTGCGTGGACAACAAAGTGAGCTCAAGAATACCTTAGGCAACTTAGAGAGACCTTGTTTCCAAACAGAGAGTGAAAACAAGAGTTGTGAATACAGCTCAGTAGTAGAACTCTTGTTCAGATGGAGGCCTTGGGATCAGTCTTCGCTAACGCAAATACAAAAGTCTCCATCACTGATAACGCACAGGTCACCATGTTCGATTCCTCTCCTGTACACAAACAGCTTTATTTGGAAAGTGACACAACTTTTTTCTTGGATTTAAAACAGTCCCATTAAGAAGGAAGCCTCTGATAAAAATCTTAGGACAAAGTATATGTATCTAATTAACTTTATTTTGGAACACTGTACAAACTCCAGTTTAAAAAAAAAAAAACATGTAGTGGTCATTCAGTTACATACTGAGAAATGGAAGACAGACCACAGGCCAGCTGTCATTTTGAGCTATGCTTTAATTACAGGTTTCTAAATATACTAACTTGCTGGTCAGTTGCTTAGTTTTATTCCCTTTCATTTTTCTGAGACAGACAAAATACATGATCTATTGCTTTTTTTTTTCTTTTTCTCTTTATGACTTTGGACTTTAACAGTAATGGAAAACCTAAGAACCAGAGAAAGCCCACAAAAATAAGTCATTTCAAGTTAGAGACAATGCATTTTTTCTCATTTATTCAAATTCACTGCAGGAAGTAAACACTAAAAGATTTAAAAAAAAAAAACCAAAAAATTCACACTGCAGTATGTACAATTGATGACATCACATAAAGAAATCGAATTTAATAATAAAAACGGCAAACTAATATCACTAAGCAGATTGCATCAAAACTGGCTGTAAACCCCAAGATTCTTACCACGAATGGTAATGTGCCTGTATTCCAGCATTTAGGAACACTGAACAATTCCTGGTTATGTTTCCAATGGGATTTTAAGATTTGTGAAGTTGCTATGTGAGTTCTTTAATGTTGAAACTGGTTGATTAAGAAGAAAAAAAAAATTAAGACCCTTGGATTCAAAGCACATTTTCTCACAAAGCATAAGCCACAGAGGTCATGTCCAGAAATGAAATACTGTCATGTTGGATGACCGTCTGACCTGACTTAAGACGTTTTCTGTCGAATGCACAGATGCACAGGGTTCCCCATGCACTTGTCGTCATGCAGCAGGTAATCAAACTTAAATAAAAGGTTTATTTTATACATTTGTCCAGACTTGCAACTGTATACATACATGCACATTTTTTTAAACCTGTCTGATTATATTTACACTTAATACATGGAATATACAGGAACCAAAGAAATTAAAAGGTTTTTCTGTTGCATTAGAACAGTACAAAATATGTATTTTTTTCATTAAGGAAATCATTATTTACATCACCTTTAAAAACCAATTTTAACATCTTCATGTAACAAGTCAATATATATATATATACATTTATATATATATATATAGAAAATATATACTCTCACCAGTTTATTCTTCTGTAAGATGTAGCAGAGAATAAACAGGTAATGCTACCTTACTGATGTCAATGAAAGCTGCAGTACCCATTCACAAATGACAAGAAACAGCCCAGATATTGAAAATAGTCCTTGAAAATGTGTATGTGCATATTTGAAACTACATATGCAAACAAAGTGAATTTGTGGAATTTGAATGCCCTTTCTCTTCTTTAAGACTTCTTTAAATGAAACATGGGGAGGGGGATATTCTCTAGTAAGAACAGCATCCTTTATAGTCATATTTATTTTTGAATTACATAGTCTCATTCCAACAAAAACACAACAAAGTTAAGCGATGCTGGCTCTGGACATTTCCCTGACCTAAGTGCTGTCCCATTGTAAGAAGACTACTGCCTTCAACTAAAAACGCACTCCAGCATCCTACAATATATTTCTAAGGCTCCAGCCCTTTCACCATGACCAAGAAAAATGACTTAGTGTAAAGCTTATTTATATAGTGTAGACAATGAGATTGTCACAGTATAGACACGGAGTAAAGTATCTTCACTGGCCAGTGGAATTTCTCATAGCAGAATAAGCATACGCCTTCTCCTTCCTCTGAAGTAGCATAATATACACTCTGATTACCATATAACATATCCATTAACTATTTACAAATCATCTTGAGGAAAAAATAACCATTTAGAATTTTAGATAATTAAGAATTAATGTCCATTTGTAATATAAAAAAATCTTAGAAACAACTTCAAGTACGTACAACAACTTTCAAATAATCTTCTTCCTACTTAACTGCTGAGTACACAGTAAGTTTTTGATAAGTCAGTTGTTAACCTGGCTCAAAATTGAAAAACAAAATATTGTCTGGTGGATGAACTGTGGGCTATAAAAAACTGAACTGAAAAACCAACTTGTTTCAAGATTGAAATTCCACGTGGCTCAATTATATATTAAGTTCTTTCAAGACAGTATCAATATTTATTTTTAATACCTGTTTAAAATGAATCAACCTGTAAAGTGACTGTGTAGGTCCTGTCTTGGATAGATAAGTGCCCTTTGATTTGGTTTCAGGTAATCTGATTTTGATGTCTCTCTCGGGTTGAATATGTTAACTCCATAAGCACTCCTGTGCAGAGGACAGTTTGAATAGCAGGTAAGGATGTATTCATGAGAAGTTTCCCATCCATCCTGGGATCACCTGAGTTTGCTAAGTGGCCCTGTTATTCCACCCCTAAGGCTAATTAAGTTAATCTTACTAATTAGAGCAAATAAATAATCACAGATTTTCCTGAGATGTTGACCCAGATAATAGGAAAGTTGTCCCCTCTACCCAATTTTTTTTTGTCATAAAAAGTATTCTGAACCCGATTTCCAAAGATATAACAGCAATATAGGAACTATGATATTGCAAATTTTGAGTGGATATGTGACAGTATTGGGGAAAAATATAGGCATCAAATAGTTTATTTAGAGTCCCATGTTCTGGAAAAGTCATAAGCCACGGTTTTCAACATCAGTGTGCAGAAGAAACACAGAACACATCAGGGTACAGGCGGAAGGAAGACTCCTGGGTCCACTCAGAGACCCTGTTCTGTAGACCTGAGATGCTGCCTATGAATCTGCATTTTAAAATTGCTCCAGATAGTCAGATAGTATGAATGCAGTGTCTGTGTTCAGAATTAAGAAATCCTGGTTGTAAGGGTTACAGGTCCCACAGGAGTGGTGAAGATTAATTTTCAAAAGAGACGGTGAAAACCATCCAAAGAAAATCCATTTCTGCTTTTGTTAAAAACTATTTCTAAGTAGTCAATTATTCAGGAAACAGCCTGAAGGTGAACATTACCTTCTCTAATTTTGAAAAAGGAGGAGTATTAATTTAGTAAAGTAGTCAAAATATAAAAAATGGAAATCTGACTTTTATTTTCAAGGATCTATTAAACTCCCCTCTGTTGTAATCAATTGTTACTAAATCGTACAAGGTTTAAAGAAATATATATATATATATATTGAAAAGGTCTGTGGTGGGGCAGACACATTGGGAACCGCAAAACCCCTTCCAAGAGTTAAAAAGAATTTTGTTTAGCAAAAGTGAAAAATGTAAGCATTGCTTTTTCTTACTTTTAGACTGATGAGGTGTGAATCAGCACAAGGCTTCTGGGTTTTTCCTAATTTGGTTATCTTCCAAATAGCTAACAATTTGGACGTTACAAACATGTTATGTAGGCTGGCTTCTGAGATGGGAAATAAACAACCCTAATAAAGACAGCAAGTTGCAACAATCCACTACTGGTGAAGTTGTGCATTTTAATGTATGCCTTTTATTTACGATTATAAAAACAGGTTCATTCGTAGGCTAGTCACAGTTGTTATCTGATGCATACAGAAATATTAAACAACCAACCTCTAGTTCAATAGTTTCCTCATGACATCTAATATTAAGCAAAAATTAGTATGCATATTTAAAACATCACCAGTGACCAATACTTTCAAAAGGAAGGAGTTTCAATTATACCATGCTTTTCTCAAATCATGCTCTTATTTATACAGATCTCAAGTTCATACTGACTAATTTTTAAAAGATCCAAAATGGTACAGCAGGTACACGTTTATTCTGACTCTTTTTTTATTGTGAGCACGCTTCCCAGAAGTCCATAAACTTCTCCATTTGTACTGTGTGGGCGAGAAGCATTATTTCCCATATGGCTATTGTAAGGGCTTCTTAGATTAAAGAAAGAAGCTTTAGTTTCTGCAGCAGGAAGTAACTCTTCTTTGACTGTAACCTGGGAGAGACTCTCGGCAGATGAAGGCTCCCTCCAGATGTCTTTGTCCTGTGTTTCTTGCGTGGTAACAGAATTGCCTCCTTTCTGGAGCATATAATACAGGATTGGATTAGTTTTAGTCAGTCTTGGAGAGTCTTTTTCATATTCATTCTTATCCATATCTGTGATGACCCACTTAATGGGTCCCTTCTCACTGGACATGGGCACAGAACATCCATTCAAAAGCCCAGGCTCTGGTCTGGACCCCACACAGCCCAAGTGCTCTGGGAAAGGAGGGCTCAGAGGGGTTTTTACCATTCCTGGGTATGAAAATGTCCTATGATCCACACAACTGCCAGGCTGAGGAGAGCTATACATCAGTCCATTTAAAGCAGAAATGCTGAATTCAGGTTTGCTAGTGGGCACATTGTTTTTGTGTCCTTTCTTTTTATTGTCGGTGACAGAGTTACTCCTGTGTGGAGACAGATCTCGCACACAGTTCTCTGAGAGAAGCAGTTGTTTGAGAACATTGAAGCTTTTGCTCTCTCTGGCCCAACTCCTATGTTCACCATCGCTGGCTGAACTGTGGCCAGCAGGATATTTATATTCCAGATCATTTCTGCTAAATTTCAGTTCTTCCTGATTAAGCAACGACCCATAGAGTACTTCTGGGCCACCATGATTATTGGCAGGGTCTACAGCACTGTTTTTCATCTTTTTAAATGGATTTTCTACTGGTTCCGAATACAGCTTCCTTTTCTTAGGGACCATGCAAAAGTTCTTTGATTCCAGGGGTGTCAGCTCACTGTTTCTGTGACTCTTGTCCTGATCATCCGATGGGTAACTCTCTTGATTCTGTCTCAGCAATCGACTTAGCAGACCGTTCTTTGAGAATGAAAAATCCTGAGGTGAAGCAGGTTCTGATTTAAAGTCCTCCGACACTGGTAAGGCCACTGTGCTCCTCTGGATGGTGGGAGTCACGCCTAAGAACGGGGTGCTTTTCACATCGTGGTTTAAATGCACGTTTGTGTTGTGGGTCTGGAACTCATCACAAGGCTCGGACTTAATTTTCACCATGAGTATCTGTTCATTGCCGGCTCTCTCCGAATGCTCCTGAGGAGCTTCTTCTCGTGCAGGAGTTTTCTCTTTCTTCTCATTCTTCCCTTTGTTGGAATTTCCCAGGAGCAACTGAAGGACTGTACGTCTTTCCAGTAGATTTTCTATCTCACAACCAGGAAGTCCTGGTTCAGGCCCTGCAGGCTGACTGCTGAAGGCTTTGTTCTCTTCAGCTGCATTTGTTTTATTTGAGAGCAGAGGGCTATTTAATCTATCAATCAGACCGAGAGGTTTGTCTGTGTTTCCACTTAACAGCTGTTTGCTGGGTCTCGGCTCCTCCACTGGCCCGGAAGACTGCATGCCGCACTGAGCCAAATTTTGTAACAGTTTACTGGCACTGAATGTTGCCGAATTTTGTGCACCTTCGCTCGGGGCTGGTTTCTCTGCTTGTGATTCTTTGCCTTTTGTGAGGTCCATCAGGTGGCTAGCCGCAGTAGTTGATAGTTTTGAAGTCGGAGTACTGCAGGCATATGGCGGGGAATTCCACTTGATGACCAGAGAGTGCTGAGAAAGATTGATGGGAGACTCTGCTTGGCCGGCTGTATGAAGTGGTGGAGTGCTCACTGGGGTAGTCCTGTTGGTACTGGGGCTTTCAATGACAGAAGTCCTAGTGTAATTCTGAGGACTGAACTTAGTCACATCGCTATGGACTTCTTGAGGGCTGGCATTCCTTTCAACAGTTTCTTCACTTTTATGGCCAAGCAGCAATTGAAGAAGAGTGACTTTCTGGTGTGAGTTCAGCTTGGAGTTTGTTGAGGTATCTTGATCTTCTTTGATGTCAACTCCAGGGCCTTTGGGATCCCACGTGTTTAACAAGGACTGGGTTAGGTTCTCAAGAGAAACAGGCTGCTCAGCTTCCGGTTTTTCAATCCGGTGTTTGCAAGACAGGTCTATGGGAACGCAATTGGAGTATGTGCTTTCGTCTCCACTACTGTCATCTGTGAAGCTAGGATTGTTATCAGAGTACTCATCAATCGTGGTGGGCGTGCTACTCTCAAAACTACTTCCTCTCTCATTCTGGCTGTGCCCGTTCATTGGCGCGGGTATGGTCTGGCTTTTGAGAAGATGTAAAAGCAAACTGTTATTAGCAGCTTGCTTTAGGTTGTTTCTTTCCAGTGAGTTCTTATAGCTCGTGTTTTTGGGGGAGGAAGGAACAACACCCATTGGATTATGAAAGGTGGCAGCGTTACTCTTGCTGGCCACCAGTTTGCTCGACGGCAGTGTTCTGGCCTGCCCATTGAGATGGCCAGACACCCCTTTGGAGAGCTGGAAACTGCCCATGTCCTTCGGACCATTCTCTTGCAATCTGGCCATGGCTGCAAGTCTTTCACTGGCTGCCTGATGTGCATTCTGCGTTTTTAGAGCATGTTCCCGAGAGTACTGCTGCAGGTGGGCTTCACTTGACAGGAGCAGCGCTAACTGGCTGCAGGCAACACTAGGCTTGGGGGAGGCGGCGGGACTAGCCCTTTTTTCCACCATGCTGGCAACAGCCTGTAATCTTGCCGCACATGACAAGGGCTCACTTATGACCTTTGTTCCACTTTGTCCAACATGATGAGGTGACTCAACAAAGCTATCTCTGATAAGGTTTGGAGTCACATCAGGGAGGGTGGTACCTGACTTTTGATCCTTAGTTTTACTTTTCTTCAACAGAGTTTTTAAGTGACTAGAGGCCACGCCATAGCACCTTAAATCCTTCTCCACCTTTAAAGACTCATGACTGAGGGCATAGCCCTGCTCCTTGAGGCTCTGTCTAATCTGCTGCGACAGAGCAACCGTCTGCAGCCTAGAGCTGAATGACTGAAGCAAAGAGGCCAGTAATGTGCTATCCTGTTTGCCTTTAGGCACACTGTCAACCATGCCAGCTAGCAAAGCTTCCTTCTTTACGTTTAAATTCACGATGGAATCAGACAGCCTCTTCCGCTTTGTCGCGTTCCAGTCCTCGGAAGACTGCAGCAGTCTGGCTTTTTTGAGGTGCAGCATGCCAGACCCCTGGTATGTCTGTGTACTGACAGTGGAGCCATTGCTTTGACAGGTGGGAAACGCACTGCCAGAGAGGTTAAAGTTCTGGTCTTCTCCGTGGTGGCCAGCAGACTTTTTGTCAACGGCAGTACCTGATCCCCCTGCTGCCTGATGCATTAGTAATCCTTCTAGGTAAGTTAAAACAATAGAATCCTGATGCACATCAGAGACAAGCTCTTCTCCATGAGTCATGTTCAATACAAGTGCTAACAGGGGCTCGGCTTTTGTTCACTTTAAAGATGCTTCTCCTGTCTGTAAGATCCGACGTCAGGAAGTGAGTGTCAGCTGATCACCTCCCATAGCAGGCAGGCAGAGATGCACTCTTACATTCTGACCAGGGTATCTTCTGGCAGTGACAACCAAGAGGCTGGCAAACTCCGGTGCAGACGACAGCACTAATGACCAGCTAGGCAAAGACCAGCCTCGCAACTTCCTTAACACAGTGGTAGCAGTGGCACCCAGGGCTTAGGGAATATGCTGTTGTTCTTTCTTCATCTTTTGTTGTTCACCAAATGCACATATCAGTATCTAAAAAATATAAAAATAAAAATAGTTAAGGGAGAACAGAACTGGAGTCATGCTCATTACCTATAAGAAATAGAATATAGCATTATGAATTTCATATAGGATATGCATATATATGTGTGTGCGTATACACACAAAGAGAGAGAGAGAGAGAGAGAGAGAGAGAGAGAGAGAGGCTATGTATACATACACATGACAGCCACAACCATTTCGTATGTGATTTGTAGGTAAGAATCCTTAAAAATACTTCATTGCAACTGAAGGACCTTCATTGCAACCTAAGGCCTTGTGAACACAGCATAGTCTACAAAGGTGCTCCAATGCTATACAGTAACATACACTTAGGTGTCTCACTGTTTATTTCCTACCTTCCCTGAAAAGCTAGAAGGTAGATTAATAATAATCATTTCCTAAGTCAGAAGCCACACTGGTTGTTTAACTTATCATCAGGAACACAAAATTATACACTGTGCTCCTTCTCTATGAGGCCTAAGCTACAAAATTTTGTGTATTAACTGGAAAGAAAACTAGTTATTTAAAACATGCCTGCATGCATACAACAATATCCTTGCCCTCGGAAGTTTGGATAAATGTGAACTTAAAAGACTGAAATCACAGCTTTGAAACCATGCACTGTAGCCCCATTGGCATCACACAGAGGGACAGCGGGAAATCCCGAGCATGCATGTCTTCTCATTCCCATGTCATACATGAGCACAACTCTCAGATCCCAATCTACATGGAGTCTGTTTCAGGACTGTGGAATGGTATGAAGTCGGGGAACTATGACAGGGAATACTGCACTGGGCACTGAGCCTTTACCCACATTTCTAGAACAGTCCTGGTATAAGGAAAACTCTCTTCCCCCTGGCCCTTCCATTTCTTCTTACATGCCCAATGAACATGGATACAGTTAAACAGTAAATGTGATTCCAAATACCTTAAGATTGCTTTAAATTTTTAAGTGAAAATTTAATAAAAGAAAGGCCAATTTAAATATTTTTCATTTTCTACGCAAAATACCAAAGAAAGTTGATAAAGGAAGGGTTTCTATTCGATGAATCAGAATCTGAACACAGAGACTCCTAACCCTGTGCCCATGAAGGCCGATGTGTAAGCTACACTTGACCACCATGTGTAACATCGACTTGTGTAAGCTACACTTGACTACCATGTTCAGAAAGCTTAATACACATGTGGACTTTCTCAAATTCAAGAATAAGAGGAGTAAACATGGTCACACTAAAGATAACAAGAAATATGGAGTTTTCATCCCATCAGTCACTGAACTGGAAGGACTTCATCATTCTGAGATTTTTTTGTCTGGAAGCCAGAACCCCTTCTGTCCACCAAGACTCCGAGCAGCCAAAGTTCACATAAGACTCTTCATTATGTAGGAAAATGTCGAAGGCAGGCGCATGACAAAAGAAGTCGGAAAGAAAGAGATGGTGTGAAAATGAGGCCATTTATTCAACTAGTTACCACAGTTGCAGTTAAACTAAAAATAAAAAATATTTACCAATTATTAAGACAAGGAAGGTTCCTGCCCTCTATTCAACATAATTAGCTGCTGAAAGTTTTCAGAGTAACATATTCTGGACAGAAAAGGAAATAAAGTACATTGAATTTATTGTGCTTAATACAAACTTTTAAACGTGAGTCTACAAGTAGGATCTTGCAGACATTTTATGTTCTGAGAGATGACGCAGCATAGCGGGTTACACAACTGGCCTGCAGCTGGCTTTCAAGAGTGAAGACACTTCATGATTGCCTCCTTTGGTTAGGACTTTATTACTTTCCTTTTGTCTTGAGCACAGTGAATCGAGATGATCCTTAATCTTGTCATCTTGCTGGGATTGAGAAACACCAAGCTCAGCAAAGCCCATCCCTGGGTGTACCTGTGAGAACAATTCTTTCCAGAGTGGATTAACTGAGGAGACCCACCCTGGACGCAGGCAGCACCATCCCATAGTCTCGGAGCCCAGGTGGGAGAAAAATGAAAAAGAGAGACTGCATGGCGGTCTCTGCCTCCCGTCCACTAGGATGTGGACCCATCAGATCGAAAACCATTGCAAGTGTGAACACATAAACCTAAAGCTTTCTGCTCTTATTAAAATTAAAAGGTTTCTGCTCTTATTAAAATTGCTTTGCTTTGTCATTTCAACATATTATCATCAAAAACTCTAACGCTACTCCCCCAACAACAAAATGGAAAAATGCTTAAAAGAGCACTTATTTAAAAATGCATAGAATATATTATGATATAATGGATAAATATATAATAATATATTATATATACATATATATGTAGTATATATATATGTATATAATTATACTCTAGAAACATATTCCTGGGTTGGAATACAGTTCAGTGTTAAATACTTGCTTCCAATGTACAATAGACAGCCCCAGGCCTTGGGTTTGATCTCAGCATTACATACACACAAACACGTAAATCACTGTAACTTTAAAAATGATTTCCGCGTAAAGCAATCCTTATTATCAATTAATAAATAGTCTTTTAAATAGGTCTTTAAGACCAAAACAGGGTCTAGAGAACCATGATAGTGCTCCAGGGACTAATTAATCTCACAGAAATTTAATGTGATTCTATTAATTTAATGTAATGTCCGCTATTCAACAACATTAAAATTGTAAAGCAAACCCTGCTTTTATTAACTTAAAAGTACTTATAAACATAAAATATCTTTTAGATCTTTCTTACGAAAGAAATTTTACTGGTTCTTTAATATGTAGTAGAAAAACAGTATTTCTGAGAAAATTCTAAAAAATAAAATATGAAACATTTATGGAATCTTGATCATATGTTTAAGATAGATATTTCAACATAGAATGCTTTAGTGAGACACCTATCAATGTTTGAATTATAAAAGTATATTTTCAAAAGGGGATGCAAGTAGTTCACATGTGAGCAGTTTATGAATGAGCATAATGTTAATTCTTTGAAGTAGCTAGATTATTTCCAAAGCTATTTTTAATATTCTCTATTACTTTTGGTTTAAGATACATAATAGAGACTCATACCCAGTTGCCTTTAGATTCAGTACCTATAATGACACATAGCATGCTATTTAAAATAAGCCTAAGCAATGACTTCCAATTGTTCCCATGAAAATTTACCAGTTTCTTCATAAGCAAGTCATAATTACTTGAGTATTAAATCTCAAGAAATTTCTGCACTGAGGCTTTAATGAACATTTTGATCTTTGGCTCTAGCTCATAAAAATATAGACAGGTTCACGGCATCCTTCCTATGCCCCTCAACAGTAGCTCCTTTGACAACTCTGTCTACTGTGGGCTACACTTTGGGTCCCTTGAGGGGCTTTCCTTGACAAAGAGTTTTTACAAAGCACATTAGAGTATTTCATCAAGTACTAATAGAAAACATAGTAAGAACATTCCAAAGTCCTACTCATTGACCACTTTATCCAGAGGGATGAATGCACTTCTCTGACCAAGTGTTAGAGAGAAATCACAACAGAAAATCTCAACAATTTCACAGAGCAAGACAGAGGCAAGCATCTAGGATACAGGCCCTAACCTTTTACTAAGAAGGAAGGACTACAGTGACTCAAATCAAACACAAAGATGCTGCTGGGAATAAAAACTTAAGAAAGAGTAGAATGCTCCTTCCTTTGCACCTGCTACACTGAGCAGGGATGACAACTGGAAGGTCAAGTAGAAGACTGAGATGAAGTTCTGAGTAAATTCTTCTTATCAAAACGTGCATCCTTTCATAGAAGCTGAATACCAAGATAACTTTCTTTGCAGTGCTAACATCATCTGAAGATGGATGTGTAGATGGAGGGTTACTGGGCACAGGCATGGACACACACACACACACACACACACACACACACACACACACAGAGAGAGAGAGGTGGGCGCACAAAAAAGAACTTATTTAAATCAGTTTGTTCAAATGAGATGATCACCCTCTGCAATTAAAATTTAAAAACTCCCTCCTCCCCCAAGGGAGTTCACAGTTTATATACATGCTCCACAGAGGCAGGGATCACAGAAGGCATCTACTGACACCCAAATTCCTCTCTACTGAAAATGAAGGAGAGGGGTCTTCAAGGCTCCCATTGTTCCTAACTTCCAGATCCACACCTTTGCATTGCCTGTGGGAGGTTTGGACAGGTTTAAATCTGTCACTTAATTCCCCCCATTTAAAAAAGCAAAACTGAGAGACACCTGCTTGAGGAACTCAGGTGTTCATTATGGGCCAGACTTAACTCTATGATTCCAAGCATTTTGTTAAATTGTAGTTGACAAAAATACTACACATTTTGACCAGAAGGATATGCTGGCACAGGAGTGTACCAAACACACAAGTTGTATGGGTTTCTTAGTGAATTCTAGAGGAAGGAAATAGTTTTGAAGTCCACTCAGTCCCCTACAAATTATTTCTTTTAATGAATTTCATTTTCAGAAAGTCTCAATATTCTAAACCCGTGTTTATTTAAAAGGTAAAGATGAACTTATACTGGAACTCGACTTGTTTCATAATGGTTATATACTAAATAAAATGCAAAAAAATACTCAGGATCTTTGCATACCCAGATAAACACAAGAGAGATGACAAGACCATTCTGGGGACAGAAATGAGTCTCTCCATGTTGATGTAATAAGATTCAGAACTATGTTCAGAAGATTCGAATTCAGAAAATAATCACTAACAGATTACTTTGGTAGCACATTTCTTTTCTTTCTTAAAAGTCTAAATCCATAAATAACATAGGGGATAGCTTTTAGGTTTTCTTTAGCATTTCTTCAGAGTAACTGGACACCATTCTTTTAGCTTTCAAAGTCTATTTCCCAACCTCTATCAGAATGGTGAGTACTATGCAAAACAAAGTCCTTTCTCCTGGAATTGCCTATCTGCAACATGTATGCACAGAGGCATCTTTTGAGACTGGTGCATAATTTCTGTTGAACTCAACTACAGTTTCTCCATCCTTAAAATAGATTTGACATAC